ATCCAGATCATCATCTACTTATAGTTTGTAGAATTTTAAAATAAGTGAGTTTCAGTAACAAGGAAAATAAAGAGGGGGTCAGAGGTTGAGCCAACAGGTGAAATTTGGGCAGCCAGAACATACCCTGTTGGTACAAGAATCTCAGAAAGGTATGGAAGGTCGCAGTGACATCGAAATTCTGTCTAGGTTCCCCCAAAGTGGCACAGCTCAGCTTCCTACACCTCAGCCTTCCCCCTCAGCACCTGATTCTAATCTAGTACCCTCCAAATCCCCTTCCATGCTCTTCTCTACTTTTGTAGGAGGAAAAAGGGGGAAAAGCAGAGGAGTTGAGAGGACTGGAGAAGTAGCTTTCTATTTCCCTTTCCCTCAGGAGAAAACACCAATCACATTTTTTTCTTTGTAAATGATTTCCCATGTTCCCTAGATACAGCCAGGGTGGAGATAAATGGTTTTGCTAGTTTCCCTATTAATAAACCCAAGGTTAATGATCATGGGTCCTTGGGGGAACTTTGCGGAGGCACAGTCACAATTACAGAAGCCAGGAGCTGGAAGTACACCTTAGTTTAAAGGTCTTATATTATAGATCAGGTGGAGCCCAGAGAGATAAAGGATGTGTCTGAGCCCCCGCAGCTGGTGACAGACAAGCTGAGCATAGCGCCAGGTCTCCCATCCCCAGTCCAATGGGCCTTTTCTGTGTCCTGTGATGTCTTCCATCCATTACTGACTACTTTCAAGAAACATTTCAAGGAGCAATAAAGTGCACCCACCCCCAGGCTCACGGGTGCTGTCACACTGGACATCATTTATCATTAGGCAGTCAGGACAAAGAAATCACAAGTGTGGGCACAGGGTGACCTGGCTTTTCTGGCCTGGCCCAGCTGCCTGGCCGCTCACCTTCCACCTTGACAGGAACTCAGTTCCACTTGCCACCTTCTTTGGTGTAGGACAAAAGCCTTGGAGGAATTCTGGAAAGGAGTTTACTCACAACAAGCCCTCACACCTGAACCAAAGTGGGCCTTCCCAAAAGGAGGGTTAGAACCTGGCGAAAGTCTGTTCTCCACACTGACGTCATAGTGCTTTTCTTAAATTGCAGGCCTGCAGTCTCTATTTCGACACCTCCCGTCCTAGCAAATGAGAAACTCTTTGAAATCTTTAATTTTCTTTTTTTCATTCAGTCCTGTATGTGTGATCTTACTCAGCCTCTTTCTACCTTTCCATTCCCATTTTCCACCATTTCCCCAAACCACCCCCTTTCCTCCAGCTACAAGGAAATCTTCTCATAGGTTCCAGTCACTTCACATCTCTGGCCTCTTTCTACCTTCTCTCCTGACTTATCTTTGCTACTCATTCCTTCAAACCTCAACTTAGAAGCATCTCAACAACACCCCCTACTCCCACCAGGTGAAATTAGGGGCCTCTCTTCTCTGCTTCTACAATAGCTGTGCCAACCCTCTATTACAGCACTGTAAGGAATTGGTCATTGTTTCATGTGTCTCCTGAGGGCCTTCTATGGATTCCCCATGGCCTAGCAACCCAGTTTTCAATGAATTGTTGAAGAAATAAACAGAGATATCTGGACAGTTTTAAAATCAGAGTTTAGAGAAGGTGGGGGCATGTCCTTCTGTTGAAAGTCCACCCAATGCTTTCTGGTGAGACAGCTAAGTGGGGTTTCTATCACATCAGGCATGATGGGATGTGCTTTAACCAGAAATGCAGTAAAAAGCCAGAGCATCAGAGTTAATCAGCAAAGAGATATGGCTAGAAGCATAAAAAGACAAAAGCTTTGTTTTCCTTTCCTTCAAAGTGTTAACCATCTTTTAGACTAAAGAAGTTGTAGAACAAACATGCAATTGTGGTGGCACTTCTTTCCAGTGCTTTTCTAAATGTAAACTACTGTTGAAACATAAGACGTGGGACAGAACTAAAACCTTTAAGTATTTCCTGAGTCCAAATTTCCTGAGTGCAAATTAGAATCTTTGTTCACTTTTTTAAAACATACCTGCTCCTTGAACGTTCAGAAAACTAGCCCTTCCCTTGCAGAACTTTGGAAACCCAAATTATAACTTGATGGTGATCAGACAAGGAGGCAGGCAGTCAAAAACTTCCTTCGCCTAACAAGAATATTTTATAAACTCCAGCACAAGAAAAACAAGTTTTGCTTAAAATAGAAAGGAAAAAGGCAGAGAAGCAGAGGAAAGAGAGAACAAAGAAAAATTCAGCCAGAAGAGGAAAGAATGAGGTGGGAAGAGAAAGAAAAACATCTAGTCTAAGCCGTGTGGAAAATTTACATCTAAAAATGTAAAAGCAAGTAGACAATGAAAAAAAAAAAAAAAACCCTGTCAGTCTTCTGATTAAACAATAACCATAAAGGAGTATAGAGTATACTAACCTATAGTCCAGTAGGTGTTCCTGAAATAGAGGCTGAATTTTCGTATTATTTCTTCCTGGCTTTATAACAAGAACCTTTTTAATTTCCTTTTTTTCATTCAGTCATATATGCAAGAAGATCACATTACACTGATTTGGTTAAAATCTCTCAGAGAAGGTTGAAAGTAGAGTCCCATGGAAGTTTCCTGGTCACTGCTTGACATGTCTTAATCTCTCACTTCTTAATCTTGCTGCTTTGGTATATAAGCCTTTGTAAGATTCCCCCCTAAACTTGGTCATTCTCTCTATGTCTCTTTTTCTCTTTCCCTGCACATCCCCGTTTCTTTCTCTTTTCCTCTCTCACATACACACATACAAATCTGGTACCAGAGAGTAAATTAAATCGTACCAGATCATTGCCTCACATAACAAATCCCCTGAACTTTGCCCAGTATATCTCTGGGCTCTGTCTGCTGAAGTGAAGGCCAGGCCTGGGCTGGAGTCTCAGGAGGCCTATTAAAACAGAGGCAGCCAGCTCAGCTGAGAAGAGGGCTCAGTGTTAGAACTCAACTAAAGCTGAGGTCTGCATGGGTTGAAGGTAGTGAGAGGGTCTCTGAAACTCATCCCATCCCTTCTCTAAGAAGGGCAAGAACAAAAGTAGAAGTGATGATCTGTTGTGTTCTCTGGGCACTTAAGTATCCCAAGTGCTGAGAGTGCAGCACATGAAAACTCTTATAAATGAAGGAATAAATGAATGAATGAATTCTAGAACATTAGCACCCATTGGAAATTCTAGCATATTTAACTTTATTGTAAACATTTGACCATAAAATTAGTCGTATAAAGAAGTTGACCAGAAAACTCTTAGTATTTGTTACATATTAATTATTTAGTCCCCTCATCCCAATCCACCTAACCCTAATCAACTAGAGATATTTTGGTCTACTGGGCAGAAGGACTCAGCACTTACAAAATGTAGTTTTCATTCTTTTTAAGTGCCTTCTAATACAGAGAAGTAAGCATCTCATAGAAAGAAAGATGACAAGTCAGTAACAGGTACGAAATACTGAAAAGTGAATTACATACATGAGCAACATAAGAACCCACCAAAAGCCTGCATTCCAGCCCAGGAGCTTTGCCATAGTTCTCGTAGATGCTCACAGAGTGAGAACAGTCATGATGATGCCCATCACTCAGTGTGCACTGAGTTGTCACATGCAAGATTGTGTGACTCATACCCCCGGGTACGACCAATATTCCTGTCCACACTATCAACACAAGAAGACCGATCGTGACTTATGACTGCCAGGATTAGCTGAGCCTTTTGCTAGTTTCAAGATTCTATATCTAGCTAGCTTTCTTATGCTTATGTGCAATGTGTTTAGGTGTTTGCAGTACTTTAAGATAAGAAATCTCTTGGGAGGGAAAATTCATTTAAGTGGTTTAGTTAACAATGCCTGGGTTTGAGAATTTCACTGATTATAAATTGGCGGTTATTTTGTTCTAAAATCATATTTTCGATGTGCAGAAACCAGTTGCCTGACAGATGCTTCTGAAACACATTTCCAAAACAAAATTCAGGATTCTTCTACAAATAACCTCACATCTAGATAACCTAGGAGTTATCTGGACATTTTTCTGACTTCCTCTGCTCCTATTTTAACTGGCAATGTTATCTTTTCAGTATCATTTGAATCATCTATCCCATCATCTCCTTACCCTTTCTATTACTATCACCCAGATCCCAGCCACCATTTCTCACTTGGACTTGAGGAATGACCTCCTAATAGCCAGGCAGGCTCTCTCCAAACCATTCTCTTTCTCTCTCTCTTTCTCTGTGTGTGTCTCCCCTTTTCTCTCTCTCTCAGACACACACATGGTATGCAACACAATTATCATCAAGTCATCCCTCTGAATAAAATATTTAAGTGTCTCCCTTGTTTGTAGGATAAATACCACAGTCTATGATATGGTCTGACTAATATTTGGTGTTGCCTCCAATACTCACTTTCCCCACTTTTAATTAGTAATAGAACCCAGAGAAAACAGCACTTCCCAGTGAACCTTGCAGATAACTGTGGTCACATGACTCCATTCTGGTGAACAGGACCTGCGTGGACGTGGTGTATCCATCTTTCCAGGAAATGAACATTCCCTTCACTCCCGCTCTTCACCCTTGCTAGTTTGGACATCCATAGGCTGGATCACCAAAGACACGGGCTACCTAGACTTGGGGAACATTTCTGGGACTCATGATGAAGTTGGATCCTTTACAATGAGGGTTTATATATAAGTAAAGGACCAACCAGCCAGTGATTTGGGGACTAGCCAGATTAGATCTTTCAAGTTTATGCTTCAAAGAGAAAGATTTTTTTCTGCTCATTTTTCAGGGTCAGTTGAAAGAGTTAAAAGAGTAATCACACAAGACTTATATAAAAACATTTGCTGAGATTTTACCCTTGATATCTATAAAGAAAGAAAATATACCTGAACCCATGACATTCTGATTTGGGCTTTATGAGATACAGCTTCCTTACCTTAGAGAACTATGAATCCTACTCATGTGATGAAACCAGAAATATTTGCAACTGTTAGAAATTGTGAATGGTTTTATTTGGAGAATTATTGAGAATTATATAAATGTATATCCTTGTCAGACAGAAATATTTTGGTTTAATAAAAAACAGATAATATTCTGCCCTACCTTACCTCAAACCAAATTCCAAAGCCTCAAATTATAAGCAGCTTTATCAAATAAAAAATAATCATTATACTAAGATAGTAGGAAAGTGAAAGACCTTGGGAAAAGGAGCCGGAGTGTTTATTTCCAGGTTTTTGTGCCTGCACCCCCTGCAAACCAATTTTAGGCTGAGCAATATCCTCTAAGATGGTGTCAGCAGGACAAACGTGAGGTTTTCTGCTTCAAACAAAATGTTAATCACAGACACTTTATATCAAGAAGATGAGCTAAATCAAAAGTAAGGGTAGAAGGTTCTTGTTTGCATGATAATAATTTTCCATAGAGTCAATTTTGTTTTTTTTTTCTTATTATGGACATGATATTTGCTTATGTAGAAATGTGGTACATACTAATATAGTATAAAATAAATGCTAGATTCCTTTTCTGTTTCTTTCTAATAAAAATTCTAATGAAAAAATTGAAAACAGACTCCATCTAAAATTGTCTCTTTCATTGTTTTTTTAATTTTTTTCCCATTTAACATGAGAGTCTTTTGTTTTTTTTTTTTGTAGTTTTTGGCCAGGGCTGGGTTTGAACCTGCCACCTCTGGCATATGGGGCTGGTGCCCTACCTCTTTGAGCCACAAGCGCTGTTGATAACATGAGAGTCTTTTATGTACCTGCTAATTATATTGCCATTTTTTCTAGAAAATGCCGCCTTTCTCGTGTATCTCTTGCTCACTGCCTCATGAGTTCTTCACAGACTCCTTAGTGATGTCCTTGAACTCCTTTTCCTCTGGCCTGCAACGTCTGTAAGCTGATAGATAGAATCTGCCCAGGTCATCCAACATCTGGCTTCAAGCATTTTCTATTGATCAACTTTTGGTGTCAGAACTTCATTTTCAGTCTAATCAGTTAATATTAGCTGAGCCAGGCTGATTTCATTTGAATCAATAACAAATTGCTAATCAGTTAATATTACCTAAGCCAGGGTGATTTCACTGAATCAACAAAGAATTGAGAGAGAGGGATTTGGGAATGTCTGGGCAGCAGAGCAGTGATCTAGTACTGTTACCTGGAAACCCTCTCTTCCTTTCTGGCTTAGGGAGCATCATCCCCCTCCAACCACCTCAAAACAGAAACAGAATCAAAAACTGTGAACATAAGATTTAATGTTTGCATTAATTAATATTCCATCATATGCCTGTTACTGGCCATTCAGGTAAGTGCTTCTCAAACTACAAGTCACAGTATATATAAGTTGGGGATCAATTTAGTGGCTCAAAGCCAGCTTTGTTTATTGGTTTGTTTAAATGAATGAAATAGATTGGATGGCTTCTTTACAAGAGAATTGTTGATACGTGTATGTGTCTGTTGGGTTGCTATGTAGACCTAATATTTTCTTAATATGGGTCGCAGTAAAAAGAATCTTTAGATCACTGATAATAGACTGTTTTTAGTTTTTCAATACTATCACAATAATGTCAATTATTTGAATACTTTTCAATAATGTCACAATAAACATTTCTTAAGGTGGAGGGAGGCTGTATTTCCATTTATTGCCTAATAGTTATTTCTCAGAAGCAATGTTGCTGCATGAAAGAGTAGAAAATTTATGAGACTCTTCATAGATAGCATCAAATTGCTTTCAAACTGTCCTAATCTAGACTCAGATCAGCAGAGAACTTCATTTTCACTGTTAAAATTGTCAGCAATCTTTTTCCTCCTATCACTCCTAAATTAATCAATAAAAACGATTTGTCATTGTTTTAATGAGGCTGAATGTTCTTTGAAACATTTATAGTGAATCGTCTACGCATGTCCCGTCCTTCTACTTTTGCTGGATTCCTTTCTTGTTGGAGTTCTTCTCTTTTTTCTTTCTATTATTTCACACATCCCTTTTAAAGGAAACCTTCCTCATTATTCTCTAGGGGTAGGGGGTACAGCAGGAAGAGAAAATGGGAGAGAGCATTTTAATTAGCTCAATTTGACAGGCTTACATCACACTATCTTTAGGCTTTTCTCCTTCACTTGCTTTTGAGACCAACTACCTGATAAGGTGTGTTTACTTTCAAAATAACTTTTAAAAATATCCAATGCCAGAATTGCTGGCCAACGTGGCACTGCAAGTTTATACTTTGAACTTAGCACAGAAAGGCAAATCTCACATGTTCTCACTGGTACGTGGGAGCTAAACATTAAAATGATTGATCTCCCAGAGACAGAGAGTAGAGTGATGGTTGACAAAGGCTGAGAATGGTAAAGAAGAAGGGGGATAAAGAATGGATAGTTAATGGGCACTAAAAGACGGTTTTATAAAAGAAATAAGACCTAGTGTTTGGTAGCACAGTACGATGACTGCAGTTAAAAATACTTTGTATATTCCAAAATAACTAAGCGTGGAGCTAGAATGTTCCTAACCCCAAAAAGACAGCTGCTTGAGGTGATGGATAGCTCAGTTACCTTGATTTATCATTCCACACTGCGTGCTTGCATGAAGAATATAAAAAATATCAAATGCATAAATGTTTTTAATATTTTATGTCTAAAATATAAAAAAATCATGTGTATCCCATAAGTGGATACAACTTTTATGTACCCATAACTAAAAATAAAAAGTTTTTAAAATCTAAAAATTATCTGTGTTAAAAGATGTCATGAAGAAAATTAAAATGCAATCAGCAGATAGGGTGACACATTTCTCAACAAAAAATTAGTTATGCATACATGACGAATATAAATATACACATTAGCATATATGTTTTAGGAACATACACACACATTTCTATAAATTAGCAAAGAAAAGAACAGACAATAAAAGCATAGACAGGGTGGAAATAGACAATTTGGATAGGAGGAAATTCAAATGGTCCTATAAAAATTACGGCTGATTTTATAAATCATCAGTGACTCAAATCCATCAACAGGCAAGTAGTTAAATCTGATAATAATCAAGTTTTGACAATGACCTGGGAAACGAGATTCTCATACGTTGGTGGTAGGAGTGTAAATTGGTACGAATATTTTGTAGAGCAATTTGGCAATATCTAATGGACACTGAGTCCCACACATCCTAACATACAGCAAGCAGACTGATATATATGAAATTCTGACAATTACGTTCATGAAATCATCCTAGAAAAAGTGCTACAAGACCTCACTGCTGAATATCACTATGGTCACC